ATATATATATATATATATATATATATATATATATATATATATATACACATGTGTGTATATAAAACATACCTTGCTACGTGTACTGCGTTAGGCTAACCGTGACTTGTCATTTGCAATTACATATTGTTGCTCTTTTGTTAGTTTTGATTGCTTCTATTGTCCTCATTTGTAAGTCGCTTTGGATAAAAGCGCCTTCTAAATGACTAAATGTAATGTAATGTAAATGCAAATAAATGCTGTTCCTTTGAACTTTCTATTCATCAAAGAATCCTGGAAAAAAAATATCACAGTTTCCACAAAAATATTAACCAGCACAACTGTTTTCGACATCGATAATAATAGTACATTTCTGGAGCACCAAATAAACACTGAAGACTGGAGCTTAAAATTCAGCTTTGAATAAATTACACAGGAGTAAAATACATTTTAAAATATATTAAAAACAGTTTTAAAATATAAAAATATTTCACAATAATACTGTTTTTACTGTAGGCCTATATTTGATCAAATAAATGCAACCTTGGTGAACATAAGAAACTTATTTAAAAACATCAATGACCCTAAACGTTTAAACAGTGAAAAAATAGTTAAAATATTGATAATGATGATTTGAAATCTTTTTTTTTTTTGTATGTAAGATAGGCTTGCCGCGATAGACGGTGCTGACGGTAATACCGGTGTTAAGCCGTAGATGCAAAAGCGCCTGTTTAGCAATATTTTGGATTTTGAAAAGCCTGTTGACTTTTGCCGTTTATCTAAGGTGGTTTTGGAAGTTTTTTTAAACATTCGTTTCTTATTTAATTGGTTCCACATTGTTTGCTGATTTTTACTTTATTTAAACTTTGTGTCATTTATTTATTTATTTTTTTACATCAAGGTGTATGCCGTGCCTCCAAGCTTTCTTACTCGTTTTGCTAATAAACATTCTAGGTTTCTTATTTATTTTGTTATATATTATACATGTTTACCTGCATATTTCCAGTTTTGTATACCTATTTAAACTTTATGTAAGTTATTTGTTAATTTATATTAGGCATAGCCTGCCCTATAGCATGGTGTATTTTTATTTGTTTTGTTAATAAAAGTTAGTAAAATGTGCACGGCGCTTTTAAGCTATTTAAAAGCGAAGGAAAGCGAGGAAAAGAGGGAAAATTCAAACGAACTAAAAACGAACAATTCCTTTACTCCGAATTGCCGCTATTTGAAAGTGAAAGTAAAATGCGCACGCAGCTTTTACAAGCTATTTAAAAGCGAAGGAAAACCAGGAAAAGAGGGAACACCCACAGTGATACCGGTGTTGTCACACGTCGATTAACCGGTGGGAAAATTTCCTCACCGTCACAACCCTAATGTAAGACCAACCCCAGTGTGACCTGAAAAGATAGTGTTTTAAGCCAAGTTAGCATGCAATGCCGCTCCATGAGGCTTACTTCAAAATGTACTGTAAATGGTGTGCAGTGTTGTATCTGACATGATTTGAAAGCCCATTTCTCACCTTCTTCTTCATCTTTACATTCTTGAAGATAGCGTGCACTCTCCAGGTCTTTGCAAACATGGCGCCAAATGCTGTTGTGTAACCCACAATGAGGATCCATGTACGGACCTAAAACATTAAATATGAAAGTAAAACAAGGTTGCTACAAACCAAAAGTTCTTATAATTTGGGCACTGAAATGCTAAGATTGGACTCTAACACCAGTCTATAGAAAACGAAGCAGCAGAAACCGCAAAACCATAAAATCTAATGATCCCACGTCCACTATCGAAAAGCAAATTGGGTGCCAGGGTGTGTAGTGAATTCTGTGGAAGTTCCCGAGGCATAATTTTTTTCTCTGTCCTCCATCTTCTGTCTCTCTTGCTCTCTCCCACAGATCTAGTATTCTTTATTTTGAGCTCCTCTGGGAAAGAAAATCTCAGCATGTAAAAGGCAGGAATCAACGATAAGGATGGCCTGCTGGCCTGGAGACAGTGTTAGAAAGTTTGGGAACTGCAATTTATGGAACTGCAGTGCTGTCACTAGATCTTGTTTGAAGATCATGCACTGTGGGTTGAAGGTTTGATGTGATTTCATGTGATGTGTTGAGCATTGTTGTTAATTCTACTAAATTAAATTAAGTCACCAAATGCATGTTAAAATTGTGACTGAAATCATGTTGGACACATAAAAGGTTTGAAAATCATAATTAAATCATCATATGTGAGTGTTTTCCACCAAATGTAATTATGAATTTATAGTTGTTATAGAGTTACAGCTGTAAAATAGACACAAATTATTGTTTAAAAACCTGAATTAAATTGTTGTAACTTGTTTTCATTTATTTACTGGAATTACAAATATCATTCATTTCTAAATAATTGTGAATAAATCATTTCTCTTTCTCAAAATAGGTTGCTAATGTTGAAAAAATATTAGCAAAAAAAAAAGTCTGTATTGTTGAGCCCTAAAAAGTTCAACTCGTTTTGTCTAGGGTAAAGCAAGCAAGCAAACATGAAAAAAGAAATAAAATAATTAACTGTATTTAAAAAAAAGCATGAATAATGAATGCTCAGTTTTACCCTATCCTTAATACTGCAATGTAACACTTCATCTTCACAGGCCAGAAGGTCGGACCCATTTCAGGCAGGTAGCATGTGTCCTGCTCAACACATTTGTAAACTATTTCCCTTGAGACTCAAGCTACTGCAGTCGCCAAAGCCTCATAATTAAAAGGTGGATTATGGTCACATGCAAACAGGCAGTGGAAACGTGATGAGACACATCCAGTCATGCTTACTCAGTTTGGTGACACAGTCTGAGTAGCAGAGGTGAAAAGTGTTCAGATTCGAATACAGAGGAGACCAGGGCTAGTTGTCTCAATCTTTAAAAGGTTTTAAGTCAAATGTCCAGTTGCACAAATGTTTTTTGTCTCCAGCACAGGTTTTGCATGTTTAAAATACCAGTCATAAATTAGTCCTATATTATAATAATTATCAATGTTCTTCATGCTAAAATCATTATGCTTGCTTATTATTATGACAATTTACCCATTATAACTGTTTGTAGCCAGGAAAAAAAAAACTTCTAAGGGAGTAAAAAGTGTGACAACTAACCTATGGTCTACCCATGCTCACATCTGATTCACAGAAATCAGTCATTACTCACAGTACAGAGGGTCTCAAATTCCTTGTCTGACACAAAAGATCCATCCAGACCAAAGAGGAAAATGGAGGCATATGACAGCAAGCCCCCCAGAATGATCAGGTTGTTCATATAGGGACTCGACATTTTGATCAGCCTGCAGATGGAGGGAAGGACACAACTGATACATTAAATATTCACATTTCATTTATTATTAACTATTGCAATTAAATGTGCATCTACACCTATGACTGTATCATATACAGCGGATCCAAAAGTCTGAAACCACTAGTAAAAGTGCCTTTATTTTGCACTATTGTAATAATTTTATACAAATTTATCCCATTGCAAGTAATATTATCAGAATATGTTCGAAATCAAAGAACGTCCTCTGGGAATCAATAATTTAAAAAATAAAATTAATTAATTAAAAAAAATAGGTGTGCACATCCAAAACCTAAATTGGGATCAGGTGCAGGACAACAGAACAGTAATAAAAAAAATAAAAAATAGATACACTGATAGATGTAAAAAACAAAACAAAAAAAAATGTATTTAAAAAATACAGTAACAACTGTAAAATGTGAAATATTATTACAATTTAAAATATCTTTTTTTCTTTTATAATATTTTAAAACGTAATTTATTTTTGTGATGGTAAAGCTGAATTCTCAGCACCATTACTCCAGTTTTCAGTGTCACATGATCCTTCAGAAATCATTCTAATGTGCTGATTTGCTGCTCAAGAAACATTTAAAAAATATTATACTTTTTTCAGTATTCTTTGATGAATAGAAAGTTTAAAAGAACAACATTTATTTGAAAATGAAATCTTTTGTGACATTATAAATGTCTTTACTGTCTCTCCTGATTAAATGAATGCATCCTTGATGAATACAATTATTAATTTCTTAAAAAAAAACTAAATCTTACTGACCAAACTTTTTCTTATTGTTCAAACTTTTCAACAGTAGTCGTGTATCTATATAGTGACCTAAAATGAATGCAGAATCTTAAATATGAACTTTTCCTATTATAACTTGTCTATTTTACATTTTTCTAAATCTTAAAAACTGATTTTCACATGAAACAAAAGCTCCCAGACTTTCACTGTGGTCTCAGACTTTTGTTCGTTTCATTCTTGAACCTTTCCTTTCATAGTCTTGCTCAGCACTGACCTGTGGTTGCGGTTTTTGATGTTAAAGAAGAGGAAGGCTCCTGCCATGAGCATGCCCAGGATAGTGATGGTAGACAGGATGCTATAGAGGGGGACATTTATTTGCCGGCGCTGCAGACGCACAAACGTCCGATCCTTCGGCGGTTCAACACCTACAAGAGTCATGATGGTTCACAGTCAGTTAGTCTCAGAGTCACTTCTAAGAATGTCACCTCTGAGAAAGCTTTCAAAATCTCCTAGGAGGACGCTCCTGTGTAATTTAAATGACTAAGGTTTTAAAATGCCATGCCAACTAGAGAGAGAATTGATGGGGTTATCAAGTCACTAATGTGACATATTAGCTCTATTTCTGCACAAGGTTACATAATGTTTTGGTTACATGGCGATGATCATGATGTAAGATGCGATTAGATCTTACATCATAATGAGAAGTTACAAGACAGTCGAGCACTTAAACCAAATGAGTCACCAAAATGAGTCAAGAGTTGTTTGCATGGCTTGCGTCTTGACAACCTGGGTGTTTTCATGTACTACTGTGATCTTTACTGCTATTAGCTCAAAAGCAAATGGTTTAGACTCTTTTTCAGTTGAATTTAGAAAACAAACTCAGTTGTGGTCAGTGTTTGAACTTTTCCCCCCACTTAACCCTATAAAGCATACTGTAACCCTACTGTACCACATTTAATATGCACATTTCTATGGACTCTAAATTAACAACATAATCAAAACATTGCTGCAAAACCTGTTGTATACCATATATGCCTTCTGATTGATAGTTTACACTTTTTAAGGCAGTAAAAGGCCTTTCAGTACCTTTATAAAAACTTCCCCCTTCAGATTATGGTACATGTCTTTATGCTGTGAAATATTTACAGATTTTTATAAAGTAAACGTAAGAATAGCTTTTATATTGTTAGTAATATTTTGAGATGAACACTTACTAAACTGAAGCAAGTTGGGATTACTTGATTTTCTAAAAAATTATGGATGGAAAATCATGTTCAAATGTGAGTATCAAATATGAACAGTCTTTTGAGGAACACTTACTTGTGCAATCATCATTAAATTGCATTAGATTATATGTTTTGCATATTTTTGCTCTGAATAATATTGAGTGTTTTTTCTCCCCGGGTTTGAGCTCCATATTCTCCTATATCATGAGCCATAATGTATCAAATACGATACTCAACAAAAAACACATTTAGGTTTAAGGTTCAATAAACTGTTCCATTTAAAAAAAATTACATTTCTGACTATTGTGTCATGCTTTACATGGTAAGCATGCCAAATGATTCCCTCAGATCCTCTTAACAAGTTCCATTAAAGACAATCAAATGTTTTACTTCCTGCCTACCACTGTTTTCCACAGAGGCAGTTTGAAAAGAAAGTAAATATCCAGGGATTATAGGAAAAAACAAAGAATGTCAATGTGGGAAAAGAGAAAAATACCTCTTGAATTATTCAGATGACCACACATTGAACAGTGAGTACACAACATTGGCAGGCGTGTGACCCTTCTGTCTCTCTCTCACTCAAATGCTGACCCGCAAACACACACAAATGGGGCTTTTCCTACCTTGGAACCTGATGGTGTTGTTGATAAGGTCCAGTACATCTGCAATGGCATTGTACTCGCCCACCTTCACCTCTTGACCCTCTGTGAAAGACAGCAACAACAAGAGGACAGCGGCGATAAGAGCAGTGTGTTCAAAGCTGGCGGCCCCCAGAGAGAAACAAGACAATAGACAGTAAATGTATTTTCTGTGCACTCCACTGCAGAACTAGTCCAACATATTGTCCCAAAATGCTCAGGCTGATGTTGACCTGAAAAAGTATGTAAATTGCAACTGTATGCATTTGCACATCAATTAAAAGGCACCAGATTAGCAAATCTGCAAAAACAATGATTTGAAACAAACACTGTCTTGTGACATCTAACTAAGAAAAACAGCTTTACTTTACTCAGAAAACATAACAGCTTCACTCACAATCATGCAGTCAGTTAATTTTTGCACTTTTTGTTTTGACAAAAATGTCCTTTAGATTTAGTCAATATTTAGTCTTGTTATATTTAGTCAATTTTATTATGAATGAAATGGTATACAATATAGTCCACAAAAATATTTTAGTGCAAAATATGACATACCCTACTGCTCAAATGCTTCATTGATTTGATCAAAATACAGTAAAAACAGTAATGTTGTGAAATATTATTAGTTTAAAATAATGGTTTCAAGAAATATTCCTTATTATTATCAATGTTGAAAACAGTTGTGATGCTTAATTATTGACCCCACACTTTTGAATATAGTGCATGAAAATATGTATATGAAAACATGAAAATGTGCCAAACTGTAAAAAAACAAATAAATATTTAGTAATTAATCTCATATAAATACAAAGCATTTGAATGAGCTAATTAACCAGTTATCAAAAATACCGATTTCTTCTTCTACAAACATTATTGTAGTGCAGTGTTAACATCTTGTCGTTTTTTCTTTTTTTTCTTTTTCATTTAATTATCACCATGATGCATCTTTTTTGTTTTGTTTTTATTATTGCTGACGAAATAAAAAGCCTTGTTGACAGGAATATCATTGAACTAGGTATTAAAGACGAAAACAGGATGGTTAGGTGAAATTTAAGGTTACGTATCCACAGATGCAATAAAATAAAGCTTAGTGTCAATAACTTCCCAGCAGAACAAGACTTAAACTCAGAGGCCAAATACAAAGAAAGTCTATTCCAAAAGCCATCTTAAAACTCAATATTTCTCCCTGGTGTGCGCTTCACAACTGCTTGTGTATTGACTGTCACACTCACAGGGAAGAAAAGTCACTTAAAAACAGAGAACATGGGACATAAGATATTATCACTTAGCTCCTGGATATATACATGTGTTTCCAAGACTGCTAATGCTAAACATTTACCATATGAATATGAATTGAGATGCCAACCCACATTCTGCTCATTGCAATTCATCTGATGGTTTCAGGTTTTCCCATATAACTGCTGTGGATTCAAGCAGGCCAAATTTTAATGTGAATAACAATTTAAACAGTGCTGTGTCAAGAGAATCATTGACTGTGAATAATCAGCGCTGTCCGTGTACATGGTTTTGCTGTAGACAATGTCATCATTCAGGTACTTTGACCATGAGATCAATGGGACACTATAAAGACAGCAAGTATGTAAACTAATAGGCAGTGTTCAGTTATTAGTTGTCAATTGTAATGACTTAAAAGATTTATGTTAGTCAGGCTTAAGTCTTTGTCAAAAATGCAGAGAGAAAGAAACAGTTTGGCCAGAACACAATCTTGCCAGGAGGTCATTGTCAAATAACTAGGTTAAGAAACGACTCTGAGTGTCTTGTCCAGATGGTTCGGAGTGTGGTGGCAGTGGGTGTGATATAGGAGCTGACAGACTGAGACTCTAAAGATGGATGGCAGGCTCAATTGAGGATCAGAACATCTCTAAATATTCAGCCTGGGCTCCCCCTTCCTATCCTTTAACAGTGAGGGATGAAGAGAGAGAGAGAAATGAGCAGAGAGAGAGTGATTGGAAATTTTGAGAGAATAAAAGCGCCTTTTTGTGCACTGCACAATCATACTCTAAACAAATATCTGTGTCTTATTTTCCAATTAAAGTATCTAAATATACTTGGAAATCTTACAAGTTTATTTTGTCTTACTGCACTGGCAGATTTTTTATTTATTTATTTATTTTAAGTATTAATAAGTAGAACAATTTAGAACAATAAACAAAATAGCGAAAAAATCTGCCAGTACAGTAAGATAAAATAAGTTTAAAAACAAGTGAATGAAATCATATGCAGTATTGCTTCTCAAGTAAATATATCTTGTTTCAGAGAGATTTTTTTTTTTACTGGTAAACAAGTTAAAAGACTAATTAAAAACTCATTAAGAAATTATTTTTGTGTGAATGATAGAAAGACTGAGTCAATGTGTGACTCATTGCATGACTGAAAGTACAGTCATTTAATGAATAAAGTGAATGGGTGAATAAGTGAGAAAATGAGTGAGTGAATTAATGACTCAAAGCTGAAATATGCTACATAAGTTTTGCCCCAATTTACAGTCTGGAATTGACAATCCTAGTTTATAAAAGTCATAGCTAGTCTGGATTTTGACAAAATCATGTAGTGTATGATGGGCACTCCATAAATCTGCTCATATTTTAAATGTCATGTAGTATATTTTGAATAAATAAGTGAGTGAATGAAAAAGTGAGTTAATACATGAGAAAGTAAATAAATATGTGTGAATGAATGGATGAATGAATGAGTGTGAGTGAATGGACAAACAAATGAATGTGTAGCTGTTTCCATCACCCTGTTTTATGCACATTTTGAAGTATCGCATCAGAAACAAGTGATGGAAATGCCAAATTTCGAAAAAAAATCCTTAAATTTGCAAAAAAGCTTTTACACTCATTTGAGGTGGTTCCTTTTCGAAAGGGAACTCCACGCTGTCCTTCCCTGTTCTCAGGGAGCCATGGTTACATGCGTAACCTGAGACGTTCCCTTTCGAAAGGGAAATCCATGCTGCCTCCTCTAGAGGGCGCTAGGGGAACGCCCTCTAGAGGAGGCAGCGTCTCGATCCCTATTCTCAGGGAACCATGGTTACATGCGTAATCTGAGACGTTTTTGGTTAATGTACATCAAAAAAGTCATGTGACTTTGTGCGATGGGATGGGATCTAATTGCATAGCATCTGAAATGTTGTTATGGTCATTCTTAAATGCCCGAGCAAAGTCTGTCTTCAAAGTATTTCAGTATAATTGCCTCCCAGAACACGACTGTGTTCTCAAACAGCAGGCATCCACCTCCGAAAAGCAATGACCACATTTATTGTGTTTCGTCTGCTCGCTCTGAGGCACAAGTAATTCATTATATATGAAAAATATTATATTCAGTGGCTTCTCCTACTTTTTTTTTGTGATATTTAGTGCCAGTTTATCAGGAAGTGACGATTTTGTTCTCTTTGACTCTTTGGATGGAAACTGTGCTTATTCGCGAATGTTTTATGCAATATTCCAATTTTGTCCTTAAGTTAAATTCTCAACTTTAGATGGAAACCTAGCTTGTGAGAGTGAATGAATATATGAATGAACAAGAATTTGAGTGCGTAAATGAAATAAAAACGAATTAGTAAATACGTGACTGATGAGTATGAGTGAGTGATTTAATGTGAGTAAATGAGTGAGAAAGAGAGCGACTGAGAGAATATGAGTGTGAATGAGAAAGACAGAAGAAAGACAGAAAGCACAGTAATAGAGTGAGAACCCCAAATAAAGAAGGAGCCCAAAGCAAGCTTGCGCTTGAGCCAGTGTGAGTTGTGATTGTTCTCGGTGTAGAAGGAGACGCTCTCTAGTGCACTGCTGATAACAGCGTCTCCTTTCTTTTTTTCATTATTTATCCCTGACTGCCATTCGCCTTCATACTGACAGACAGTTCAATCACCCCTCAGCCAAACAGCCCTCCGATTCTGCGGCCTGCTCACAAATACAGTCTGAAGAGGTGATGTAACACACTATGGGGGGGAAGCCTCTGCGCTGAAGCAGATAAGACTAAAGAGGGTGGGGAATGCTGGCCTGCGGCTGCCATGGGGTGTGAGGGGGGAATCCCTGCTCCGAGATTAAATCCCACAAACTAGAGTTAATCTCCCCTGCCCTCAGGACACACACACACACACACTGGATTAATCACATCAGAGGGCCGAGCAGGGGAATTCTCCAACTCCATTACGCTACAGGACGACGCTGACGCAGAGCATGCTGACTATGTGATGTATGGCACAATCGTCATGCTGAGATATTTGTCGCACATATTCTATGAAATGACACTATCACGAAGTGAGATAGTGGAGGATGATCAACACTGGCTGAAGGACCAACATTTGATCCAGCATTTCCTATAAAAATGCTTGTTAACCATGAAAAATGACCATCTAAATGGACTTACCTTGAAACTGGGTGAATTTTATGGTTCCCATGCGTTCCCCGTTCCTGAACATCACCTGACCCTGCAGAAGCACACAACGAACAACCTTCACAAGAGCTGCTTATCACGTGTAAATGGACAGTTTGCAGAAATCTCGATTGCACAGTTGAGATGATTAATATCATGGCACATAATCTGATTGGGACAGATATATCTTACAAGGATCGATTTTCCATCTGTTTGCCATATCCTTCACTCTTGGCACGGCAACAAATTGGGAGTGTTTAGTTTGAAGTCTGGCACAGTGCTTGTTTTTTAAGGCCATTTATTAGATTAAAGATCTGTGAATTGATCGCATTCTTGAGGCAAACACAATTAATTGTAGCACAATTGATTTGTTAAATTAATGGAGCACACAGAGGTCTGAGAGGTTGCCAAGTTGTGCCAGCTGAGGAGGACTGGGATGCTTTACTGGTAAGGTAAAGTAAAGTAAAGTAAAATAAAATAAAAATTCATTTTTATTTTTTATTGTTGCAATTCTGCATATTATTTATCAGATATTTCAAAATAAAACATCTTGTATCAGTATAATAAAATTAAGAATTTAGGTAAATTTCTTCTTACTTTAGCAAGCACTTACGGTAACACTTTACAATAAGGTTCATTAGTTAACATTAGTTAACTACTTTAGTTAACATGAACTAAGAATGAAAAATACTTCCACAGCATTTATTAATCTTAGTTAACATTAATTTCAAGATTTACTAATGCATTATTAAAATGAAAAGTTGTGCTTGTTAACATTAGTTAATGCACTGTGAATTAACATGAACTAACAATGAACGACTGTATTTTCATTAACTAACATGAACAAAGATGAATAAATACTGTAATAAATGTATTGTTCATTGTTTGTTTATGTTAGTTAATACATTAACTAACATTAACTAATGGAACCTTATTGTAAAGCGTTACCAGCATTACTAATAAAAGCCTTAGAAAGAAGTAGCAAAATGGTGAAGGAAAATTATAGGCTCAATTGAAAATAACAGCGGTCCAGGAAATAAAAAAATGGCTACTGAGAACTTGGACGTTCTTTCTTGTGCCCTTGAAAGATCATCAGAACAATAAGAGCATTGTAAGAAACTTTGGATGAAATGCATCTTCTAAAGGGGAAGAAGCCAATTAATATTTAGTACATATAAATAATAAATCACTTCAACCAGTTACAAAACACAATCATTAACAGAGGAATTTCCTGCAACATCATGAATTCAAATATGACGTGAAGCCTCATCAGATGTTGCATGGATATCTGATCAAAGCGCAGACAGGTATATAGCATTTTTACATAAATAGTTTTTAAAGCTCCATCACTGGATCAAAATATTATCTATGTTCATTATGTCTTAAAAAAAGAAAATGCGTAAATGCGGATTGCTGTCTGTCTGCCCCGAAGCTGCCTAATGAGCCATTTAAAAGGATTTGGGATCACTCGGACCAATAAAATAACAGGTGAGATGCATACTGCATTACCATGGCAATAATTAGAAGCCCATTAAAACCATTGGAGGCAACTCCAAGCGAAGTGATCGTATCTCAAAAAATGGCTATCTTTGAAGTATAGACCAGACTCCGGTCCCACTGCAATATGATTCTTTGTTTAGCAGCTCAGACGTGGGCGCACTGGATAAATGCTCGCCTTCACAAAACACATTAAAGCTGCAATTCAGAATTATGTGTGTAAACAATATATAATGTGAACGGCAGTCCTCTTTGTCAGATGAATTTTACTGACTCCAAAGCCCTCCCTACCTGCGGAAATTTACATATTCTTCATAGTTTCCAAGACATAATTTTGTTTTATAAGCTATGCAGGATGTCATTTTTGTAACATTGTGGAGACAGAAAGGAGAAACATAGGTCATATTTTGTTCCTTTTGTGTTTGATGGAAGAAAGAAAGATGAACTGTCACTTTAAGACTCAAGCTGTAACAGTAGTTGGAGAGTTATTCTAAATCAATGAAGTCTTCTCTCTTTCTCAGTTTCTTTTTTTAGACTGGTTTCATAACATTAGAACAGCTGAAAATAGATTGTGTTGCACTGCAGGTGTAGGCTTATGGGTCAAACATGTTGATGGCACCTTTTATCAGTGTGTGTGAGTGTGAGTCTATGCAGAGGTGTGGACAGGCCAGGCAGGAGGCCTTATGGAGGTCACACAGGTGTGCAAGGCACCCTCAGGCCTGTAAAAAGGGTTGTGGGTGGAGGTGATGAAGGTGATGGAAGCAAATGATGATGTCGCTGTCCAACCAACCAAACAGCCACTTATAATAGCAGACAGCAGCTAGGTTTGCCCTGAAATATCTCACACATATTCAGTGATATCAACTGTCTACTGAAGATGCAATGACTCCATGCACTGAGATTTGTAAACTAGGGCTGTGCTGACACAGTCATTGTGTTGAATGCTGAACTGAAGTCTATGAACAGCATTCTGACGTATGATGTCAGATATATATATATAGATGTTGACTACTAGTCCCAACAGTCCACGTCTGCAGTGCAATAGTCTATTTTCAACTTTTCAAATATTATTACATTTGGATGAATATGTTTTAGAAGACATGTTTTCTGTTTTTATTGAAATTTAAGCAGTCCAGGTCCTCTGAATAACTTGAAAAGTTACAAAAGTAAGTGGAAAACTGGCAAGAAACATGTTTAAGTTACAAAAACTGAAACATAATAAAAATTGTATATGGAATCGAGTAGGTGAAAGGATGGTTCTTCTTAGTGTGTCACCAACTGTCAAACGCGGAGGAGGATTCGTGATGGTCTCTGACTCTTTTGCTGGATCCAGAGTCTGTGACTTACACAGTAAGTGTCAGCCTGAACCAAAAAGACTACCACAGCATTTTGAACTGGACACAAGCGTGAAAGCAATGCTATACCTACTGTACAAGTGCAACACATTTTTGGGAACTTTGCAAGTGCTGAGAATAGCTTTACAAACACTATTTGATTTTCATCGGCTGTTATATCAGCAAAAGAGGCTTGGATTTAGAAATTTAGATTACATTTTGATTTCCTTATTTCTCCGGTTGAGCATTTTTTGCATGCTTTAACTTCAAAGTATATTAAACTGTGTAAATTTCAATACAAACTGAACAAATTAGGTTTTCAACACTTTTGACAAGTAGTGTTTATTGATTCTTCTCAGAATCCTTATACTCGGGAAAAGAATGTGAAATCTGACCATTAAATTATCATTCATATGTCTGAGGTTGGTAAGATGTTGAAAGAAGTCTCATGCTTATTAAGGCTCCATTTATGTGATCAAATATGCAGTAAAGGCACTAATACTGTGAAACATTATTACAATTTAAGAGGTCTTCTATTTTTAATATATTTTAAAATATTATTTACTTCTGTGATGGTAAAGCTGAATTTTCAGCAGCCATTACTCCAGTCTTCAGTGTCGCATAATCCTTCAGAAATTATTATAATATGTGGGATTGCTTCTCAAGAAAGTATCAGTTTCTTCTATTACTATATATACTACTGACCCCAAACTTTTTAATGGAAATGTATGCTTGCTTCTAGAATGTACCATCAGAAAATTGTGCTAACCCTCTCTTAACCAAATGAAAGCGGCACAGCACCACTCTTCACTCAAAATGATCCACAGAGACTTCTCTAAGATAATGTTTTACTTCCTGTGGCATGCTGGCACTCGATCGATAGCTCTTCTCAGAGGACTCAAAGTCCGATGGAGAAGCTAGAACAGCCCGTTCTGTTGGACAAAGACCCAGCCATTGGTACGAGACAAACCTGATCCTTGTGGGACCACTAAATCTGTTGTAGTCAGATTGCATCTAGTTTTATGGGACTATGTTCCAGACGATTCTCTGCAATCATTCAGTTTTGACAGGAAGACGTCCTATTTTAAATCAGAGTCATGAATATTGGGAATCTGATCAGCCATTAAAACATCACTTATACTGTAGGTAGTGATGCATGATATTAATGATGATAATTATTGCCATGATACGGAGGATAACCAATAAACGGCCAATATCAAAACTCTATTTTGTTTAAAAATAAAACACTAAAAAAATAAAATCAAGAACTTCAAATGCTAGAAGTGAATTTAGGCAACACAACACACACGTAACGTACAGTGAAAAAAATGGATATTTATTTTGAGTTGGGTTAGTCTGTTTAATCATAACATAACATTAAAATTGTAATCATGTATATATTCTCACACTGAATCTCCAAGTTGAAACAATAAAGTATTTTAAATATTTGTTACATATATATATATATATATATATATATATAATTTTTTTAATGAGTAATCATAGTTGCAGATATTAATCATATACTGTACAGCTAGGATGTGGGTAAAAGCATTAGCATAGCTACTTCAGGAATTTAAGAGGGAGAAAGCTGTTAATTGCGTTAATTTGTTTTTAATGTAAAAATACAGTAAATTATCAATTAAATATACAATACCGACTGATACCAATAAATTAATTCTCTAACGTTGGCCAGTAACCATTACTGTACTGATATATCTTCTCCCTTTCTATAGAGAGGGAAAAGAATGACCACATGCTCTTGTTTGCCCTTCTGCTCATATTTCCACTGGTCTTCCAGCAGTATTTTCCTTTTTTTATTTGTGTTTGTTTTTCCTTCCTCTCCATTAAGCTTCTACACTGAGGTCTCGTGGAACATGCATTGTTTGTTAGCAGCCTGGGCAAACAGAAAAAATACTCTGCTACACGAGAGATACAGTAACTGCTGGATAAAAGCCGAAGATGGAGGGCTGGAGGACATACTGTACTAAAACCCAAAATGCCCATTAACCCCTATTCATTTCCCAAACCAACAGCATTTGCTGTTATATCGAAACTCCTTCCTTTTGTTAGAGAGATAGTTCGGTTCAGCTTCACCGCGTTCCTTTAGATTTGCTGACTTGCCTTCTTTTTGTGCTCTGTGATTCTCTCTTTTGGCAGCCTGCAGCAGTGTGTTCTCATAAACAAACACACATTCAGTGATGTCTGCAGACGGGACACTCCCTGCATACCAACTATCTCCCTACCTCTTATCTGGCTCTCATTCTGTCAGCTACATCGCATGTTTAACATTACTAGCCTCCAATCACAAGCTGCATTCTCAAATGTTTGCCCTCCCTCAGCCTCTCGCAGGCAGTTTGCCGCAATAAAAGTGGCCCTCTTTTGACTTTGAGATCTCAAAATGGCCTTTACAACTTTTCAGATGTAGGAAACGTCACTTGATGGCTCAATCTAAAATGAAATCGCGAAAGCCACAGTAGCTTTTTCAGTGAAACACGTTACAGGATTGTAAACAGGTCGACCAGACACTGTATTTGGCCCCAAGAAGATCTGTAGATTATCCATCAACGCAAACTTACCGTCACTCCAAAGAAGTTGGTTTCGTTCATCACGTCCAGGACCATTTTGCCCACCTCGCGGTCATCCACCGTGAAGTTGTGGTACATGTCGTGCCTCTCCTTGTGCCTGAGGAGCTCCATGACGCGTGTGAGGGTCTTTGCAATCACCCAGATGCCATCGTAGGCAAAGCCGTGGAACTTGCTGGCCTCCACTCCTTTCTGCTCTCGCTCGCGGTTGTACTCCCTCTCGTACTCCTGTGGCGTCTGAAGACAGATAGATAAAGCAGCACTGTTTTAAATTTTGGGTGATTCACAAAAAAGGACCCCCAAGAAAATAAAAATGAGAAATCTTTTAAAAATCTACTTTGAAACATGTTCTTATTAGATATTAGAAATCTAATATTTGTGTCCATGTTGGTTTCAAACATTTTTAAAACCATTCATACTTAACATTGATTTTAATTACAAAAATGACAGTTGGTGTAACGTTCAAGTAAAAGTCTGTTATTCTCACCAAGGTTGCATTAATTTGATCAATAATACAATAAAAACACTAATATTGTGAAATACTATTACAGTTTAATATAACAGTGCTCTATTCATATATATTTTGAACTGTAATTTATTCCTGTGATGCGAAGCTGACTTGTCAGCATTATTACTCCAGTCTTCAGTGTCACAAGATCCTTCAGAAATCATTCTAAGATGCTGATTTGCTGCTCAAGAAAGCTTTCTTATTATTATCAATAATTAAAATGGTAGTGCATTTATTATATGCTATATGAAACATCTATACTTAATTTTAAAATTACATTTAATAAAGAAGCAGTGTAATGATCAAGTAAAAAGAAAAAAAATCTTCCTTGCATCTTGAATTATCAAAAGTGTTGATCAAGGTTATGAAAATGTATTTTTAAAAAATGTCATAATTATGGTCATAAATATCAATAAGTTTGGTAAAACAGATAAACTAGTGCCAAATCAGTGCTAACCAACATAAACCAGCCTAGACGTGCTGGTCCAAGCCGGTCATTTCAACAGGGAAAGCTGAGAAAAGCTCAGAGTAAGAATCTATTGAAACTGAAATTCAATTCAACTGCAATGCATCATTTTTCCTTTCCACATGCTGGAATTTGTTTCTGTCAGAAATCAGAAATGTCATTCATAACTCCTGAGATCCCACTGCATTACAGACACTCACTCTTCCTGATATTCCTTTAATCTGTTTGGCACTGAGAGGCTCAAAGTCCACACTGATATAGCCCTCCATGGCTGTCAGCAGCTTCTTAGTGGTGCAATTTGTGGAGTTCGCCTGTTCCCACCAGTTCCCCTGGTACCATCCTGGGATGATCCACTGGTACTTACTGCCATACATGTTCAGGTTGTAGGCCTGGAGCACACACAAGGAAAAAAAATACATTGACTACAGTCTTTTTTATGCTCAAACAGCAACATTACAGACTAACTAAAGTTGAAAAAGTGAAAAAGCATAATAGGACCCCTTTAACACAGCTAAATGTTTTTGGCACATGTACTGTATGTTAAAAAAATCTACAGGCCTTCTGCATGAAGTCTGAAGCTGGTGGGAGAGCTGATGGTTGCATGTTATGGTTACAGAGTTACAGAGACATGATTGTGCATGTAGCTGGCTAACTTACACAGCAGAAGACTTTAGAGGCCAGATTCTCATCAAACTGACCGATGATGATCCGGACATCATTATCCTATAGACAGGGGTAGAGAACAAAATGAAACAGGTAGTTAATGGCTAAAGAGATTTACATAAAACATATGTTGAAAGGTGGCTGAGAGAAAAGGTGCAGCTTTTCTCATGAAAAAATATGTAAGCATCTTCCAAAAACGCAGCTAAGGTGTGTTGCTTTCGTAGGTGAGACATATTAACACCAAGTGTATTACAGAGAAACAGTATCAGCAGTGTGAATTGCTTCATATCCAGAGAAAAACAGAGATCTGCATCTGTAACCAGCATTCACGCTGCATGTTTGAGTCTGTAAACAATTCAGCCCACTTCAGCATTGTGTTTCCACCTCGTCCGGTTCTGCATCACTGAGAATCAATCCATCATTGGAACAAGATTTCTATACACATGAAGCCAAAACTGAACCCACGAAAAAGAAATAAAAGCTCAGAACGCATCTGTCATGTGCTAAAGGCCATGCTAATGTAGCGTCTGGACCAATCAAAAACACAATTTTTCATTTGCACTTGACGTTGTTCATTGTTTGCTCATAACTGGAGTCACTTAATCATGCAGATTTATGCTACAAGCTCTTTGTAGAATTGTACAGTAAGAAAGTTATTTCCCTTAACCAGGAAATTAACGTTCTTAGAATTGACAGACAGTTGACCCTGAGAGGTCAAGTAAATATCTACAGCGGATCTAAATATTTATAATTAATTATAACTAGTTATGATTAATTATTCATATTTCCCCATGAGCTGATTCGCTACACTAACACAACAAGACCTACGTATTCTTCAGAGGTTATTAAGTATCCTTTTTCTCATTCTGCATATCAGGATGTAATAATATCCCTCCCCGCCCTCTTAACTATATTGCCCTTGATTCCAGCAAATGGCAATGAAAATTTCAGGTGAAAGTCAGTCTTGTTTGAGGGGTGTCACGGCCCAATCCATCATAAGACGTGTCACAGCTGCCAGGATATTGAAATGCTCACCAGCGACTTTAAGAAATCATCTCTGAATCTATTTTTCGCTTTTACCTCTTGGAATGTTATCCTCGAGCACGAGGCTACAGGAAGAGCATTTAACATGTACAGCTAATGAGCTGCTCAAGATGAAAACTATCATGTTCAAGCAGGAGTGAAAATAATGACTCCAGTGGGTGGGATAGTGTTTTGTCGACAGCTCTGAAAACAGCAGCATTTACAGGTAAGATCACAGCGGATACATTAAATCTGATCTCAGACCTGCTTTAAACTCGGGAACAATTACATAAACGACGTTCGCAGTGGGGCTGCATTCAAACGCTGTTTGAAAATGCATGTGTGGCCTGTGGTAAACGGTTTCGTTGAGATGTTTCTCAGAGAGTCTCATTTGCCACAATACCACCCTCAGCACTTCAGCAGTGCCAAAGAACATGCTGAGATATTGGAGCTATTGTGTGAAATACTCCCGCTTCCCTTTTCAGGACCAACCGCTTGGGTCAGGCGCTTCTTGCTTCACAATCAGCAGCCGTTACAAACCCTGCTGCTGCTCCCGACGGCGTGGGCACTTAACCTGAATCCCTCCAGCTGTGTAAGTGGCTCCAGCTGTCCTGAAGTCCTGGCAGACACAAGCTTCTTCCAGCCAGGCAAAATGGAGGCTGGATCCATGCCAGGCTGCCCCAGGACCTCAGTCACCACTCGCTTTGCTTTTATGAAGACCATGGTTGTGAGACTTTCCCACATTTACACAGCGAATGGTAACCCACCTATTCAGTGGATTTGAGTTTCAAAAATCTCAAAATTTTGTTTATATGGGTTTATATAATGCAAAACTGGTGACTGTCTCCCTATCACCCTGTGCACAGCCATGTCACTGTGAAATATAATTTTGAATTTACAGACTCTAAGAGTTGCTGTCAACTGGTGAAAAATCTGACCATGCAGAATTTGAAGAAACAGTTCTTTAGCAGTTCTTTGCTATTTGGGGAATTGCCATAATGGAGGTATTAAGTCAGGCAGGTAATATAAGTCATAATAGTTTCACGGTGTAAAAAAATGACTCAGCAAAAAAGGTGGGAACAAACCTTTAGGTGGAAATTGCAAAGTAAGAGAAGCAGCAGACAACAATGGAACAATGGCTATTCAGATCACAAACATACTCGAATTAATTGCTCATGGCATTCTTGACACTTTATGTGTTTATGATGATGACTAAGAAAACTTTTTAGTATTCTCTTTAAGAGTCATCCAAAGCTAAAGCTGCAATGGTTAAAAAACGACATCACAACTCATTAGAATATCATTAGCATATCACATGATTACAGAGTCAGCTTCTCACTGTTTACACAAATCTATGAATGTGGTAAAAATGGTTACATCTTTAACTATGATATATTGTATATTTGTATTTGCATATATAATTAAAAAGGAACTGTCAAAGCATAATGTGACTGAACTGAAAACAAGGAATACACTACAGTTCCTATTTAAAAAAATAAAAAATTCATTTTAAACAAAATTATTTTGCATTACATAAAAACACAAATGAGATGTAGATTTTGGTCCAATTTCAGTACAAACATCATTAAAATGAGACAAATTTACATGAGAAGCCGAAGTGCATAAGATAATAAAACTCATGTTTATTGAATATATCTAAAATTCAACCTTTTTTTTTTTTACCCCACTGACGTTTTTCCCTCTTATTTTAGGTACAAATGTAACACAGTTCAGTGATATATATAGACATGCATATTATGTGTATAACTGAGTGGGACATTGTGCACTGTAAGCTCCCTTGTGAGCTCCCTTACCTTCAGTTTCTTCACATTCACACAGGGATCATTAGAGAAACTCTCAGTGTCTGCAATCTGGATGTCTGCCTTCTCCAGCTCATTGGTCAAATCATTCCGCACCTGTCAGAGAGAGAGAGAATGAGTGAGAGAGGGAACTAGAAATGAAAGAGAACTGAATGAAAGCAGAGTTTGCGGATGGCAAACCACCCAGAAAAGTATCCAATCAAAGGCAGCACTCCCTTGCTCTGATACATGTCTCAATTCACTCTAATCTCCTGCCGATCTGACGTTACCCCTGCATCCCAATCAGCCTGTAGCATCCGTGGAACTCTTTCCTCCAGAGGTCCCACTGGGCTTTGGATAAAACATGACTCCAACCAGCTTTGCTCCCCACAGACTTAATCCATCCTTGTCCATGGATGCCTTTGAAAAATGGACCAGTTCCTTGTAAATAAAGTCTCAATACCTCCCTCCCTCGACAAAGATTTATGGCGTGAGAATCAAAGCATATACTATATTGAGCTCCGGTGTATTGTGTAATACAAAGGGTGTTCACAAAGGGTTCATACTCTCAAATCTATCACTCCAAAAATTCCAACCCATTGACAAAACATTTGGGTCACACATATCACCCAGAAATTCACTTGAACATGGGCCAAAATCAAAATATGCTGTGCTGTTAAAGATCACAATTATAGTATGGTACATTGTAAAACACTCTCAGAAAAGCTTCATCTTTAAACTCGTTCTTTCAAATGCAGTTATACTCATTAAGATGGACATCTTTGCCTGTTGCGTCATGAGTTTTCTTAGCATCTCACACCATAGCTACTGTTGTAAAGATGTCTTTAAAGATAAAAGTACCCAAATTTGTTTAATGTCGCGGTTTCATACTAAATAGCGGAACTGAACCGCTATTGATGATGTATGAATTGGTCCAACTGTGTATTTATGCTTTCTCACTCATTTTCCTGACAATGTGACTGACGCACTGCAAGCAGAGAGAATTTGTATCTCATTTCCACTTGCCTTCAGCAGAAATTGACTCCCGCATTCTTTTGAACCTCTGCATTACATTTGTGACAAATGCATGTGTCGGTCTGTACAGGTGCTTTGGAAAAAACAAACAAACAAATTTCAAAATCCAAAGTACAAAATTGAGGAGACCATCAATCAAACCAATACTTTATATTATTCAGCTGTGGTTCATTTAATTGTTCAAAAGTGACAGTAAAGACATTTATAATGTTACAAAAGATTTCTATTTCAAACAAATGCTGTCCTTTTGAACTTTCACTTGAACTTTCAAAAAATCCTGAAAAAATTATATCACAGTTTCCAAAAAAATATTAAGCAGCACAACTGATTTCAACATGAATAATAAGAAGAGATGTTTCTTGAGCACCAAATCAGCATATTAGAAAGATTTCTGATGGATCATGTATATATTCATTACATTTTATTTAAAATTGAAAACAGTTCTTTTAACTTGTAATAATATTTAAACATATGGTAAATAAATATACATATTTAGATCTATTTAAACATGCTTTGTAAGATGGTATTCTCTATAAGCTAACCACCTATGATTCAATCACCTGAGACGGATGTTAAAACCAGGAGTAAACAGGGCAATGTCAGATTGTGACAGAATCCTGAACTCATTCTGCTAGACATTACCTGAAAAGCCTGTCTGATCCACATTGTCTTGATTACTGATGCGGTGAGCATATTTGTAGCTTAACGCTGGCAGATCCTGGAAACCTCGTTGCACATGAGCAAGTGTGTGTGTGTGTGTGTGTGTGTGTGTGTGTGTGTGTGTGTGCGGCTGTACGTGTGGATCTCATGAGCATGTACAGTGGTGTGAAAAAGTGTTGGCCCCCTTCCTGATTTCTTTGCATGTTTGTTTGAGGATTTGAGAGCTGTCCTAAAGCTGAGGAGAAATGAGCATGATGTGATGTGAAATGCATAATGCATTTATGAACTGACCTGTCAAATTAACCCAGAGAAAAAAGGTAAACAGGAAGCCGCATGAATCAAGTAGAGAGACACAAGAGCACAACACTGGGTGTCAAGAAGCTCTGCGGGCTAATTTACCATAAACACCGACATTATTCTCCATCTCACTCGGATACGCAAAACCACCTAGGCATACTGGCCAAATGCCCACACTTTAATGTTTCAAAAGGAGACCATTGTCCAGTTTTCACTACCTA